TTGGACTTGACCACAGGGCTTCGTGTTCAATTACTGGCTCCATATTGGGTTACAGAGGCTAAAATCTTTTTGATTTTGCCTCCAGCCAGACTTGAACCATTGACCTTGTCTGTGGGGGCATGGGAGCTTAACCGCTAAGCTATGGGACCCATACCCTCTAACTACATTTTCTAATATTTATATATAAATATAGTTATTATAAATAAAAAATAATTTTATTTCAAAGGATATGATGATCTAATGAGGTAATCAGATTGTCAACTTTCTAAGTAGTAAATTAGATATTTAAATCCTATTGATAACAAAAATTTAGATAATTATCTATGTAATATTTGTATTATGGCAACTGTTACTAATGATTAAATTAAAATATCTGTAATAATGATCATACTAGCATGACTGACAGATCATAGAACATCTGTACAATATTGAAGTTATATAGAAAAATGCAAATTGACAAATCAGATAATGTAAACACTAGATAAGTTCTTGTACTATATAAATTTATTAAAATTAAGTGACAATAAATCTATTTGAGAAAATCTAAATAGAGAGATAGTTAAATCTTTGATAACCCTATTATAAAAGCTAGCCTAGAGAAATAGATACCAAGGTCATAATACCCAGTTGTAGTAACCAGACAGTTAAAAACCTCTGAGTTAAGAGTCTTAAAGATACCATCAACTAGACTATTAGAATGGACTAAAGAAAAAAAATATCAGACCAATCTGATATACTAATAAACTAATCATAATTCTATATAGGCTATTAGAATTAGAAGTTTGGTAAAAAGGCAAGTAAAAAAACAGAAGTATACTAAAATACTAGAATTATGCAATAAAGTAAATGCTAGAATCTAAATAAATTCTACAAAAACATAATAACCTAATAATTAAATTTTAATAATAATTTAAACTAAAAAAATTTTTCTTAATCAACTAACTAAACTAAAATATTTTATGCCAACTAATTCAACTGATTAAGATTTACTTTATACTTTACCTTTAAAAAGTCTTAAACCTTTATTCAAATTTTTGACCTTTTTAAAATTCTTGATTACTAATTCTCAACCAGTTGTACAAATCAACCAATTAAAAATTTATTTAACCAGTTATCCAAAATTTATTCAGTTTAGGTTGGTTACCCAATTCTAGCCTAACAGTTCAAATTACTAAAACCAACAAAAGTCTAAAATCTAAAAAACTATAATAACATATTGATAGTAATTTTAAATTAAAAAAAAAAACAAAAAAAAAAATACTAAATACTCTGAACCAACAGCAAACTAAATAAAAAATAAAACCTAAAATCTAAAAAGTAACAATAAATAAAACAAGTATTAAAAATAGTAATTTTAAACAAAAAAAAAAATAACCAAATACAAAAACACTAGGAACTAAAGGCAAAAAAAACTATCAAAAAAAAACAATTTAAAAACAAAAAATATAAAAAATAATAAAAAGTAAAAGATAATAAAAATAATTGTAAAAAAAAAGAAGTATTTATAATTATGTATTGTTTATTGACACGTTTATAACTTCGCGATTTTGATATGTACTAATTTGGGGCCGTGTCTATTACTTTTTTGATGCATTTGAGGTTAGTGGTTTATAAAAATATCAAGAATACGATTTATGCAATATGTAGATCAATATGTAATTGGAGACGACCCCCTAATTTGGAAATTGATCATGAACTGTAAGATCTGGCACGCGTCCAAAACTAAAATAGTCTAAATTTCGTATTAATTATGAATATTACGTTAATTTTTCGGGTTATCTCGGACTCCAATCAAAAGACTTTAGTTCGACCACGCTCGTGTAACAAAACAAAAAAAATGGAATTTAGGATTGTGTATAAGTAAATTTTAATATGGTTTGCATATTCAAATAGAGACCCAGTTTCAAATCAGATACAATTATAATCATATAAATCAGGTTAAAATTCGCTTATTCATCATTTATCAAATTTGTATTCAAAATAAAGAGCTATTACAAATCTACAAGTAATTAATAACCTTTAGTATGAACTATGCTTGGTCCATGCTCATTGTAATCGACTATTAATAAAACCTTTAGGGTCAGGAAAGAAAGCTTCAAAGTACAATAAACGAAACATAAAATGAGTACATATAATTTCATTTAAAATACTTTTATAAATATAATTAATTGAAATATAAAATTACTTTAGCTGTAATGACAGCTGGTCTATCTTTAAGAGCTGAAAAATACTCGGGTAATTTTAAAAATCTTGCTTCTTTGATTTGGTATTCGCCAGCATTATCCGAAGTATAAAGATATACATTTAACTCTTTTTCAAGACGTTCTTTAAAGCCATCACTTCAACGACGGCCTATTTCACCGACAAAGCAATTCTGGTCATTTTCGTCAGGGTCAGATAGAATTAGAGTTAAATGTTAGTGCAACTTTAAAAAACAACTAGTCGGTGAAATGACACGTACCCGTAAATATTAATAGTATTATTACATTATCAAAATCTATTAAAATACATCGTAGGTGTTAAACACATAATTGCCTCAAAAACGGTCAAATAATCAGTATTTGATCTAATTAAAGATATCCGGCTCCTCCAGAAAATAAATAATATGAACATATATATGAAGTCGAACACCGATTCATTTGATAATTTCTGTAATCAACAATATATCTGATATATAATATGCACAATGAATTAAAAATAATGCTTCACCTTAAGTAAAGATGAACCACCAGTAAAAGCAAATATCTCCTATAATGTAGTTCGTTTGTCTGGTTCGCAATAAGATATTGCCGATAAATAGCCTCAGGCAAAGAGAGAACCCTTTCCTTATTATTAGAAGAGGGTTGAAAATAGGTTCAACAACTTGGAAACGTTCAAGACCAATTGTAAACTGTTTTAATCGATTATGAAATGTGTTACAATAATAAGCATAATATATGCAGAGATTGTAACCCGTCAAGAGAATTTTTATCTAGGTAATTTATTATAGCCATCTAATAACAATGTCTACCCGAGTACAATCTTTAAATATCAGTAATTGTAGTAAGATTTGACCTTCCTTCCATTATATTCAGCTTCTATTCTATCTGACCCATCCTCATCTGGAAGAACCTCACAAATATCAGATTCCTTGAGTGTTCTTGCGAGTTCAAATTGGGTGTCAGATAGCAGCATTGAAAGAAAATATTCATCAAAATCTTGACCAGCAATTGGTATCGTCAGAGCTGCGTGATGTTGGACGGAGCAATCAATTATTGGAGTAATTTCTAATTAAAAATTTATTTTGAATAAAATTTTGCCATTTATATACACCATCAATTACAAGACAACCGATACCGATACCACCAAATTCGGGATTCATAGAACATTCATTAGATTGTAGTTATTGAGAAAACTTTGCACTAAGATTATGCAAAAAAATTGGTTACATGTATAAACCCGTGATGAATTTTGATTGGTCAAGTATGACATCCTGCTGAGTAAATAGATGTACGCGGTTCGTTACTCGACAAAAAAAATGTCAACTAAGAGAACCAAGGTATATTTATTTATTTAAGGGTTTAAATCTAATCGCAAATTTTTTATTTTGTTTTTAACTTTATTCTTTTGCTTAAAAAAGGGAGTAACTATAGTATATCCAATTGTTTATGGAAATGTTGCAACTTTACTACCACAAAAAAAAGTTCCAGATTCAGATCACACACATAAGTGGACTGTATCAGTAAAAGGAATCAACGGACAAGAAATTGGACATTTCGTTAAAAAAGTTACTTTCAAATTACACGAAACTTATTCTAATCCACAAAGGAGTGAGAATATTTTTTATTATTTGTCTTTAGTATTTGATATGCGATTTAAACAGTTGATATAAAAATTTGGAATATAATAGTAGTTGAACATCCACCTTTTGAGATTACGGAAACTGGATGGGGTGAATTTGAACTTTCGATAAAACTTCAATTTATTGAAGGTAGTGAAAAACCTGTTACCCTTTATCACAATCTTCGTCTTCATTCTTATGAAGATGATGGCTCAATTTCAACTTCAAGCAAGAATAAACCGGTTCAAAGTTTTCAATACGATGAACTCGTACGGACTATAGTAATTCTTGTAGTGTCGTTAATTATTTCTTTTATATATATCTATTATATGTGTTTAATTAATAGGTGTTTACTGACCCACCGGAAACTTTATATCAAATTTTGACAATGCATCCAATTCCAACTCTTCCATCCAAGCCATCACCTAATTCGCTATACAGTTTGTATTTAAATATTTTTTATTTTTATTTTTTTTTTTGGACTTGATTTTGACTATATTTTTTTTAAAGGCTTACAGGCAGAACAAGATGAACTTCGTAAGATTGAAGAAGCTTACAGAAAGGTTCAAGAACAAATGACTATATATAAAAACAAAAATGATAAAATAACAAAAGAATTAGAAGAAGTTAAAGCAGAGTTAGAACGTACCAAAAAGTAATACAATTATTTTATTAATTTGGGTATGTAAAATCAGTTGCTTAACATTTTAAAACAAACAATAACTGATTTGATATCTTTTCATCAAAAATGTTAACATCTGCGATTATTCCATTGTACAATCAGAAAAAAAATTTACAACTTAATAAATGATACATATATCCTTGCATGACGACGAACAAAAATATTTGATCAATTTTCATCAATAAGATTTCTGGTATAGTGAGGTTTTTAATAATGCATTATTTACGCAAATTTCACATAAACATATTATTATATCCCTACATAAAAATCAAAGTCAGTAAAAATTTAAAAAACCTTTGAATAAAATAAATAAATTAATATAAGCTTACGGGTGGTGGCAGCTCATCATTGTCAGGATCTCCACTGATTCAAAAAAAAACATCGAGAATTAATAAAGTTAAATAATACTAAGTTTTAAGAATTAATAAATATTACCTAAACATCCCGCGGCCACCACGACCCGGGAACCGGCCAGGTTGTGGTCCAAATGGTCCAATTGGATCAAATCTTGCACCCGGTGGAACTGCACCTCTGAATAAGAGAGAGATATATAATTAGTCGTCTTGTAAGATTGCATGACATTTAGTTGAATAAAATCGCTGAGATACCTTGGTAGAGTTTGTGGGCCACCGTAGATTCCACCATTATTTGGACGTGCATCAAACATCGGGTGGTTTGGCCCTACGTACATTCCACCACCTCGACTTGGCACACCAAAAGGTTCATAAGGTTGCGCACCACCAAATCTGGCGTATAAATAAATAGTTCAACATATAAAATCTCTATAATTAATTATTTTATTAATTATTTTATTAGTTATTTTATTAGAAAACTAACCTTGGACCTATGATCGGGCGAGAGCCAAGTGGATCAAGATCGTCGCGTCCAACACTCAAAGGATTATTATAGCTAAATTTACAAAATAAAAAAAGATAAGGTTGTAATTTAATTTAATATAGACAAATAAATAAAAAGAACTAATATTCAAAAAAACTAAGGTCTAAAAAATGATTACATTGACGATGGTTCGTCACCCCCGTAAGGATCTTCAAAAATAGGTGGCCTGAAGCGTGGTGGTTGACGCGTAGGAATACGTAACGGATCATCGGCAACAGATTGTGGTTGACTTCTTCCAGGTTGATTACTAGCAGTGGCGTTACTATAAATATATATGAACAATATAGAAGAGAATGTATATATAAATATAAGTTTTAAAAATATAATTACACCTAGACGTACTTTGTTGTACGCGTTTCTTCATATCCAGGTTTATTCAATCCTGGAATCAATCTTTGTAAGATATTAATTTTATAAATGCTGACTAAATCTTTAATACGACTTGTTGATATAAATATATTTGCAAGAGGTTCGGAATGATGTTTCTCAGCAGTATATGGGAAAATCGAAGATGAAGTATAATCATTTGTGATCACTTCAAGAGTACAAGTTTTGTTATCCTATATAGATGGATTTAAATAGTACGAATAATCTCTTGTATTTTATTCTAATATTCTTCACTTACCTCAATTCCCATAGCATGAATCAAAAATTTATTGGACAATCGCATACATTTGACTAAAAAAGTTAAAGAAGATTGTGGGTGCCTGTAACGGAAGGCGTATGAATTAGGACCTTGAGAATTCCACCCTTTTGGGAGGCCAAGGATATTGCCTTCAGAATCCCTGTCCACATTATTGGCTGTTAAATATTAAAAGCATTAAAAGGTATAAAAAATAAACCATGCTTAAACAATTTAAAAACAATTGAAAAAGAATGGGTAGAGCAGAGATCGTACCGTCACTGTCTTCTTCACCGAGCCCAACGAGCCGAAAACCTACAGCTTCCATAATAGAGTGAAATAATGCAGCAAGTGCATCCTGACTGGAACGAAAAATCTCATTGGCTTCCTGATTTTCAGTCTCAGATTGTGAACCATTTCCTTGTAACATCTGTTCCATTGTCGCCAGGATATTCCGTGGCTCCAAAGGATCAGTTGCATTCGGTTCTGTTTGAGACATAATTTATGATCAAGTTCTTTTAAAAATTAAATTAAAAATTTGTATAAAACCCATTTTTATAATCTCAATTATCATTGTATGATCTTATATCATTACGTGTATCCTTATGTCAAGAAAATCCCGAGCTGCCGGCCAAAATATATGGGTCGTAATATCTCAATTCCTTATATATCTTACGAGCAAAATTTCATTCTACTTCGAGGTCGGAAGTTGGTTACTATGTTTGTTTTGTTACACGAGATCCTGTGATTTTATTGGATCCGAATATGGTCGAAAGTGAAATAACGGCCCTAATAAATTATGCTAATCACGTGTTATTAACCTATCACGTGATACTACTATACTGATGCAACGAGCGTCGCCCTCAAAAAATGGTAGCCGGACAGATCTGCCGGTTGCATATGGTTTCGGATTTGATTGTCGGCAACTTTGACATTATTTATATGTTACGTATTATTATAATAAATAGAGCTCAAGGTTTTTTTTGGTTTTACATCCGAAACTATAAAAGCATTTACTATACTGAACCAATAAACCAAAGTGTGTAACAAACGTAATTGTCAAAAATTACATACGGAATTTTTAAAAAATATTTCATTATTATACTTTAAAAAATATCTTGAATTTTGAAAAAGCAGAATTTAATTGCATTTATATTTATTACATATTTGTTATAGGGTGTGGCGACTTAGTGAAGTGAATAAGTTGTCAACTCTCCAAGTGGTAGGTTAGGAGTTCAAAACCCACTAATGGCGAAAATTTGAAAAATCACCTATGTTATATTGGTGTATATGGGCATCTGTGCAATGCTAGAGTTATACAAAGGAATGCAAACCAGCATTGGGCAGTGCAAACACAAGATAAGTTCTTGAAACCAGTACTATAGCAATGGCTATCTATTGATCAGTTGGGATCAGTACTTGTAACATGATTGCATCAGATAACTAGCAGGTCATAGGGTATTTGTAGCTATATAAATCTGTAAACTAGAATAATCAGAAGTTCACTTGGGAAGACCTGAGTAGAAAGGTAACATGGTTCTTTGATAATACTACTATAAAGGCTAGATCAAGGAAACAGATACCAATGTAGAAGGAATCGGGTAGGCAAGAACCTCAGGTGAGAGGTATCATCAACCAGGCTGCCAGAAGTCAAACTGAAAGAAAAGGACCTTGGAGAGCAAACTCTGAAATATTAGGGACAGGTCACAGTCCTATCAGGCTATCTGGATTGGGAGTTTGAGGTCAGAAACAGAGTATATTAAAGTATTAGGGATATGTTGTGAAGTCAGTGCTAGGGTCTAGATGAACTCTGCAAGAACAAGCCCTGTTAACAAGATACTAAATATAGATAGTTAGTTAGCAGGGAGGCTTTCTGAAGCCTTACAAGTTAGGTGATGTACTTTGAAATGTGTAATGGCTTGATGAATATATAAACAGAAAGGTTATGGTTAGGTTAGATGACATTTAGGTGTATAGGAACTTGTGTGTACTATTTGTTAATATAAGTATAAGGATCAAAGTGTTTAAAATAAGTAATCTTCTAGTAGATTGCAGATATGGCAGCTAGTATAGAACCTGCTGTACAGGCAGACTACTTAAATTAGACAACCAAAAATTGTATGTGTAGCTAGTTGTATACTCACCTTGTACAAGTTATATAATCATAATTAAAATACAATAAAGACAATAGCCACTGATAACTATGACCTTAGCGAAAGCAAAAAAAAAAAAAAAAAACATATTTGTTAAAAATTTTATTCTTAGTACATAGTGTTTTTATTAAAATTTTTTCATGTTCTGGGCATTGTTATATAATTATTTAATACTTAAATATTACTATTCATTTTTTCTAATAGTTTAAAATTCAAATGAATATTTTTTAACCATAAATGTTTTTTAGATTTATTACATGATTTTTCTAAAAGTTCTTTAGTCTGAAATATAATTAAAATTCAATAAAATTATAAACATATTAATAAAAATCTAAACCAAAATATACCTTGTCCAATATTTCATACAAATAAGTAATATTAATTTTATAATTATATTCTTTGTTACTATCATCATGTTGTTTGTCATTATTGTTATTATTATAATCATCAATTGAATTTTGAATTATTTGAATATTCAAAGATTCATGGTTTAAAGAATTTTTTTGATAAAATATATTCACTAGTTTGCCTTTATAAGAAAAAATTAGTAGATAGGTTCTATTTCTTTGTACCTATATAGAAATATAATTAAATAGTAATAATGATAGATATAGATATATATTATAATTTAATTTTTTATTTTTTTAAAAAATATCAGATCAGTTTTCTATAGAATTTATTAAGTACTTATATAAAAAAACCTGCTTTAAATATATGCAAAACATATGCATATCTATTTTGCAGAATCTGTAAAATACTTATTACTTATTATTTTATTTTTATGTTTTTTTCAATTCTTATTTAAACTTTTTATAACATGATAGTAATTTATAATTTTGTTCAAGCATTTGAATTTGATATAATTGTTAACTAATAACTTTTTTTATTAAAATATAACACAAATGCTCAACTTGTAGTTTGTAGAACTTATATAAATAATTATACTTTATTTGGCACTAGTGAGATTTAATTATTATTGTTATTTTAATATAATTAATTTTTTTATCAACTGCTCATGTTCATAATTTTCATTGTTTCTTTGAATATTACTTCTTCCAAAAGTAAATCTATAGTTGAATCAAATTGTTGTTTTTATAAAATTGTATTATTTTACTAACACATTCCTTTCAGATTTTATTAGCATTTGTAACAAAAGTGTCATCTGGCTTTGGTAATAATATATAATATCTTGAATGATTTTTAAAAAGTTTAATTACAGATTTCTATTGTTACAAAGTAGATTTTAGCATAATATATTATAAAATAGTATTAGTAGTTATATATATTCATTATTGTATTTATATTATTTAATAGTCATTAGTTAGTTGATAATTATATTATATAATAGATAGATAAAAGGATCTTAATTGGCTATTAGAAATATGATACAGTCACATGATACTGAATAATATCTGTGATGTTATTATCATCTTACAAACCCTAAATACTATTATACAAGTTTCATATATCTTAGCATCAAATTACTGTGCCAAATGCCATAGCACAAGAATTCCAAGTATCTCTAATATGAACCTCAAGTGTTCTTACACAAATTTCAAGTATCCCTACACAAATTTCAAGTACCTTTGTACAGATTCAAGTGTCTAAACACAAGCCTTAACTGTTTCAAACATGAATAACAAATGATATAAATAATATCACCAGTTGTCTCTGTACAGTCCTTACTATTCCAAGTACAGTATTATTTAATGTTGTTTAAACCTTCATTGTCTCAAGTACAATAATATCTAATGTTGTTCAAATCTCTATTATCCTAAGTACTGTATCAAGTAATGTTACTCAAACCTTTACTAATTTTACTAGATAAAAAGATATATAAAAATTACCTTTTATTCTTTCTTGCCAATTCTAAGTTTTTATACTTTAATCTAGACCTATCTACCTTTATCTCTAACTTGTAAAAATGATATTCCTCCTCTAGAATAATTTCTACAGACAAGGTTGTCATTGTGTATTATTTAATAAAAATTAATCTATATACTGTTATTATCTCAAACTGTTTGTCTACTGCTGTATAGTAAAGTGAACTACTACACATCCACCTTATATATATTTGCAATAGTCAATTACTGTATTAGGTGATCTTGTTATTTAGTTGTATTGTACTAAGAAAACTACAATCTTGTAACATTTTGGTGCCTTCTGATAAAAATATAAAAATTTATTCCAAGAAAGGAACAGAAATCTTTCTTAAGGAAACTACTCCAGGAAGCAATTTTCTTTCTAAAAAGAATTTTATTTTGGAAATACCAATTATGAAAAAACATTTTGAAATTTTGGAATTATAATTTTAAATATATCTTTACTAACTCAAATTGAATTGAATTATTTTGTATTTTGTATTTTGTATTTTGTATTTTGATATTGAAGAAGTTTATGTTTTTATCTTCTATCTTTGAATTTTTGATTTTTGAAATAATCTTGATTTTGATTTTTAATTTTGATTTTGACATTACTTACCAGCCAATAAATATATTTTGAATTGTTTAAACTTTTGATTAATTACTTGAATTCTTTACTTACTAGCACTATTATTTTAGATTTATTCTCTTAATTTTTATTATTTTATTATCTTGTCACTCATTAGTACTAACCTTTCTTGAAGAAATTTATTTTATAGAAGATTTTTTTACTTAATTTTATTTAGAAAATATTCTAAACCATCAACAGATTTATAGTGAAAACCTCTCTCTTGCTACAACTGTATTGCAAACCCTTGCAATTAATTTATCTTGCATACAGTGTTATCTATCTTTTAATCATTATGGATGTTTTATTGAATTTTGAACTTGGTATTTTGAAGACTACCAAGCTATTTCTTTTAGTAAAGTTACTCATTCTAACTTTTTAAGGTTAGTTAGTGCTGGACACTCAGCTGCCTGAATTGTAGCTAAAAATATTATTTTTAGTTGTTATTATCAGAACCAGATAACTAACTTTTGAGATATTGTATAAAGCATCTTTCAAAAATATACTTCTTATTATTTAGTATTATCAATTACTGCTAACCAAAAGACTTTATTCAATATTTTTATTGATAACTCAGTTAGAGCTTAACAACATATTGAAGCATTACAAGCTGCTGCATTAGAATTAGTACAAGGTTTTAAGGAAAAAACTAGTGTATCTACTTTTTAGCAAACACTACAAGAAACTGTTATTATTGTAGAAGAGTCTGCTACAACTTCTACTTATTCTATTACTACTGTTGTTACTTCTACTTAAACTTTAATACCTATTGTAGACCTTAGCTCTTTAGTTCCATATAGTGAATACCTAACTAGTGAACATTACACATATTATTAACCAGAAATTTTATTAAGAA